AATTATTGACAGGTTCTTTTAGTTGCGTATCAAGGCGTGTATGTTTACGTGCTAAAGTCTCAAAAAGTGAAATTAAACGTTGCGCCACATATGGATGTAATGATCTAAATTGTCCAGACATATTAGCCAATGCAGCTAAACAATTTGTATGCAAATATTTATCACGCATTTTTAGCATATTATATTGTATAGTACGTATAACGACTAAAATGAGAAGGCCTCCTAAAGATATTTCGGATATGGTGCGCTCTGTGTACCAGCTTATGTTTTTTAAAATCTAAAAAAAGAATTCTTTAATAAAATAATATTGTATAAAAATTAATTTTTTACTTACTATTGTATGTACGTTTTTATTAAAACTATCGTCCTCACTCAATATCAATAGCACAATCAATGACATGTATATATGATGAGAAGTGCTATCAGGTGCATGGTAGAGTGTTTGTAGTATTGGTATCACTAAATTTTCTAAATCATTTTGCGCCATAACATATCGATAGAAACGTTCATTACGATGTAATAAAAGATAAAGCAGCAATGTGGCTTGATCTATGGTCACAATACGGCAAAGTGTCTCATATACGGCAGAGAAATCAATTTGAAAACTGGCGCTGTCCTTTGGCGAATCTTTTGAGTCAGCGCAATTAAATAAGCTAGTGCGATACGGATTATTCTTAGCAGAACAGTGATTAGTTAATATTAATATAAGTAGAAGACTTTGATTTGCTAATGGATAGTAATCACGAAATTGTGGCGATAGCTCTATGTTGCTATTGCCGGTTGATTTTAATAAATCGGGTTGTTTACGAAATGAAAATATCGAGAGTAAAGATTCAGCGATGCCAAACACAAATGAGCCAGCCGTTGAGGAGCCAAACATAGTACTTGGCACTTCTACCATACGCGAAACAAAATGTAGCAAAGCAGATGTGAGCACATTGGCATGTTGACATTTATAAATAGTTCTGAAAAAAAATAAATATAAACAATAAATAATAAATAGTAAATAATTTAATAAAACAAACCTAAATATTATGGATTTCTCAGTCGGCTGTTGAGTGAACAAATGCACAGATAACAGTGTTATAATGGTGTTAACTGCTTCCAAATGTAAGTGATATGTAAATTCCCTAAAAGTGAAAAACTTAATTAAGAATAATTAATTAATTTAATTTGTTAAAAGACATACTTTACGGGAATTACTACAATTAAATTCACTATAGCGTCTATAAAAGTTTCGAACTTGGAGCCATCAACTACTATATTGGTTTTTGTTGTATCTTCCACAGCTTCAACAGCAATTGCTGTGCTTTCAGGTGGTGCACCAGCAGCTGCTGCTTCCTCCTCAGCGCGCAGTAGTTCGGCATTCGGTATTGCTTCGAAATGTTGTAATAACTGAAATTCTGAACCAGTTTCTATAATATATTTCACTAAGCAACGTATAATAAACAAAGCATTAAATGTCTGCCAAATATGTCGGTTACTAGAAAGAATATTAATATGAAAGAATATTAATATGGAAATAATATTGAATTGAATATAATTAATAATATGGAAAGTAAATATTTACCTCTCCTGATCCGACAATGACAGTAGTTCAGATACTTTTTCTAGAAAAACTGTTATAAGCGAACCCAGATTTCCTGTCTTTAGATTATTACTTAAAAACGATTGACACAAACCCTCCAAACGTGAATCTAAATTTAATTGATCCTGGCTACAAAGCAAAGAAAATAGTTGAAAGATTATTTATGTCACGTCACTAATGCAAACATAGTTCCTACCTGTTTTCTGGCATTGTGATATGATAATTTAATATGCCATTCCAATAATCCACATTTTCATAGGGTATATGTGATCTTCCAACGAAACGTTGCAGGTACTCATTAGCCGATAAATCGGCGTGTCTGCTTACGTTGATTCCCATTACTCACAACAGTGCCAAGCACCCAACCACAAACAACACCAAAAACGACAGCGACTTCTCAGTGACGCTGTTAAAATAAAATAAAAATTGCTATTTCGCTCGATTCCCTCAATTAATACATTTGTAGTTGCTCTAGCTCTAGCCGTCTTTTTTATTTACAAATAATTTTAATAATTTTATGATTTGTCGGCAAAAATTTTAGCTTATGTGGAAAAATAATTTCTACGTCATCGTGTTTGTAGATAAAACAGATAATACAGTTGATTAACAAATAAATAGCAAAAGATGAAGTGTCAACAGCTGTTTACAAACAGCGGCGTTTGTACAGCGGCGATTATACAGCAGAAAATAGCAACTAATGCCAGCGGCTGTAACTGTTGACTTTTCATCAAGTATTTTAATTTTTAAAAAATTTAATTTATATATTTTATTAATTTAGGCCGTGTGCGAGTTCTAGTAAATTGAGGTAAAATAAATTAAAATTTCCTAGGCATTTTTTGCACTGCACTTATGTAAATATTTATTTATTGCACTCATATAATATTATTGGTTAAAAGTTTTTAAATTTATTTATTAAACATCTTATAAAATTTTCACAATGGTTACACCTAATTTACCTAATTTTTATCTAATTTACCGTGCTAGAAATTCTAGTTAATACCACCATTCGCTGTCATTCCGTCCTAATTATTATTTCCCTCAATTTACCATCAATTTACTCGAACTCGCATACGGTTTTAAGGCTTTTTAATACTTAATTAATTGAAATTATATTCGTAAAATTTTATTTAGATATTGATGTTCACGTCATATGTAAAATTGCTTATGCTCTCAACGTAAATTCAAAATTTCACACCGTGAGTAAAAGAGTAAATTTATCTCATTTAAACGGTTTTGTTCATTAAGGTCGCCAATGAGGTTAATTTACCATACAAAGCGCTTTTATTTGAATGAGCTCATTATAAATAAATCAACTTAAGGCGAAAAATGCCAAATGCAACCCTTAAAATAAATTTCCCAAAAGGGAAATTATCGAAGTTTTAAATATTTGTTATATGTTTTATATGTAAAATGTAAACAAAGAAGCTATTGCACATGCATAAATCGGCTTATGCAAATGGAAACGAACAAAACTGAAATTCATTACCATTAGTAGTTTTAGTTGCAGTGGAAACATGACATAAAATTCAATTTAACTTAAATGGCTAAATTTTCTGTATTGATAAATATCAGAATTTTTTCTTTATAAGCTTAGTACTAACATCCATTTGATGAAAGAATTCATATATGTAATTATAAAAAAAATTTTCTTCAATGTCCAAGCAATCAAAATGAAACCAGTTTACGTTTTTTGCTGTTGCTAATGCATATTTTTATTTCATTTTCATATGCAATGCGTTAGCAATTATGCAAGCAATGCAATTAGCAACAGCAATTCAAACCCTGATTTTTTTATTTAAATTTTTGAAAAAACAGTTTTTCTTCTTGATGCCAGAATCTCTGGTAATTACGAATTGAAGTTTGAAACGATTAATATATTAAAAGTTTTAAGATTAAGAGAATCAAATATCGTATCTTCAATAATGTTCTTACGAATAATTAAATAATCATTTTTGTCTTAGATTTAAATTTAAAAATTTCTTTCTTTTACTATCAAAAAGTGAGATTTTTAAAAATATTTCTTAAAACGGTTTTAGGAAAAATTTTAAGGAAGGATCTGTACGCAAAAATCTTTATTCATTATTTATTCATGAAATAAATATTTTATTATTGAATTTATTAAATTTCACCCTATTCTTGTCTTAGATCCAGGCATCTAAGCGAAAAACGAGTAGCAAAACAGTTTCATACATCAAGCACGGTTTGGGTTCTCTTATATTAATGTTTCCACTAGAAATAAAGTATATTTCTACGTCTTCTTCTTTCAACTGAACCCATAAACATATTTTTCTCTAAAGCATCATCAACTATAATGCTTCGCTAAGCCAGCGAAGATGCTGAACGAATTCGTATTACTCGTAGTTATTTCGAATGCAATAGTCGTGAACTCATAGAGGACTAATGATCTTTCCAAGAAGTTGCTCTTGAAAATTTTTAATATTGCTTCTGTGATAGCGTATATACTTCCATTAGTTTACCAGTAACCTTTCATCAAAACAGGATTGAGGGATTCTAATAGTTGATTATACTTTCATCCAAACGTAATTTGCAGATGAGTCGTTGAATGCTTTTTATCTGCTTTCGAATGTTATCAGCACAACACTACTGGGTTTAAAAAAATCTTTGGCATTTTGTCACTTCTCGAATTTTTTTTATAAAATTATATATCACGATTTTTTAATAAATAAAATAAATAAAGGAGTAGGACATCACCATCTCTCGTATAGTTATTTGTGATTATAATACTTTTGTCATTATTTTAGTCAACTATAAGGTGAAAGACCTTATATTCAGTTTGTCATTTACCGACATCACTTTTCCTAATAACCTAATTTTTTCACCTCTTCCTCTAAAAACGCAAATCTGCGTCGATTTGGGTTTTCCATTGCATAACATATATACATTGTTATGTCTGAACGATTACGATTTTCCGGTTTCCAAAAATGTTAGATAACTCTAAAAACGTTCGTTTGGGCAACAAAATTCGAAAAATTGAGAGTAAATCTATATTAACTCCAGATTTATTAATCGCAAACGCCATAAGTTCTCATATAAAGATATTGTAAAGTTCTAAACAATAATTAAAAATATCACATAATTATTTTTCAATATTATTGTAAATAATATTTATTACGTCTTCAGATTAGAAATATTTAAGGATTGTGGTTATCCTTCCTGTTTGCTACTTAATAATATAAAATAATATTTAACATAATGTATTGTTAATAATAATTTTAACAAGTTTTGTTTTAATTATAATTTATTATTGTTTCTTTTTATTTGCTTTTTAAGTAATTCCCCAATTTTATTTGTAAAACAAAAATATATCACAAAATAATAATAACTCTTGGTTGGGCTTAGAGTTTCTAAAATAAAAACGTTTTAATTAAAAATATATTTTGCTATTTTTTTGTTTTTTTTTTATCTTTAAATTATTTTTATTTTTAACTACTAAGCGAGGGAAAGCAAATTATATTTGGTAAAATAATTGTGAAGTGCAGTGGAGGGCATACTTAGTGGATACTTGTGTGCTGCATGAGTGTGCTTTTGGCCCCCTTAAAATACATAACTACATACAATACATAGACAATTATAAACTATATGAGAATTATTAGTTGAGCTTAAACGATGAACTAACTTAAATATATAACATTAATTTTTTTGCTTTTAATGACTTAAGAAGGCAATAAAAATAACTGCTTCACTCATTTGGCTTTCCCCATTTCGTAAATTCATGTTGAGTCTCAACGTTTTTGTCACTTCCAGTCTTCATCAAATACAATTCGCTTATCCCAAGAATTCAGTTGTTGTTTTTATAGTTTTTGTTCGCAGTATGATTTCCAATTTGTTTGAAAGTAAAATGACATCATCAGATCCGGTTCCTATTCTTTTATTTTTTTTTTTTATTTTAATTTCGTTTCATTTTTGGTTTTGGTTTTGTGTTGCTATGCTATGTTGTTGCTTTATTGGAAACTGCATTTCTTCAAATAGAGTTAAAGTGGTTTAATATTTGGATCCCAACAATCTGGGTTTAGGACCATTATTGTTGGATAGCATTTGTTTGAGGCTGAACGACGACAAACCAATACCAACTATAGCCATCATAGTAGCAGAACGTGTAACGATCCGATCAGGCGTTGTTGAGACAAACGCACTTGAAGAAGAAGAAGCAGCAGCGTTAGAAGCTTGTGTTGACAACTGTGAGCTCTGAAATAAATATATAATAAAATTAATTAAATCTTAAAATTTTTATAGACAATATACAAATAATATGAGTGCAAGTTTTAAGCAATGAGTTTTTATTTATAAATGCGAGAAATCTCTTTCTAATCTCTTTCCTAATCTTCTAATTTCGATCTAAGGTTATCATCTCCGGGATCTTAATCTTGAGATCCTCATCTAATCAGAATTAAATAATCATTGTAACAAATCGCTCAATAAGTCCACGATGTAACTAAGAAAAATAATGTTTTTCTAGAAATTCAATATCTATAAAGAGGCAGTAATCACTTGAGGATCATATCTGGAGAATACAGTAGTTGGGAGAGCAATTCAACATCTAATTCCATAAAGGAATCCCTAATTTATAGCGGTTTATGTCGTATTACTTTTTTTTTTAAAAATTGTGAACACACTATCTTCTGATATCTTTAAGGTCGCAGAAGAATGTTTATTAAAGCTCTAAAATTTTAGAAGATGCTTGCTTTTAACTCCCAAACCCTACCCATTGCTTAAGTATCTGCTTCTAAAACATTCTTATATTTTTTTAAGAATAAATAGGTGAAAATCTTTAGAAGATTGAAGGACTTGAATGAGGGCTCTTTAAATGCAATGTTTGTCAATGCATTTACGATATGGACAGATAGACAGACGATAGGATTTGGATAGATAGACGATAGGAGATGGATAAACAGACGATAGGATATGGATAGAAAGACGATAGGATATGTATAGATAAACGACAGAATATGGATAGATAGACGATAGAATATGGATAGATAGACGATAGGAAATGGATAGACAGACAATATGATGTGGATAGACAGACGGTAGGATATTGATAGACGATAAGAAATTGATAAATGATAGAATATGGATAGATAGACGATAGGAAATGGATAGACATGATGTGGATAGATATGATGTGGATAGACAGACGGTAGGATATAGACAGACGATAAGAAATTGATAAATGATAGAATATGGATAGACGATAGAATATGGATAGTTAGATGATAGGATATGGATACATAGAAAGAGAATGCTTTGTTGTCCACATTGTACAGAAATGGCTTAGATAACCTGTTTGCACTTTTTTAAAATTGAAGCCATGGCTTTGTATAACATAACAAAGCCAACTTGAGCCCCAAAAAGGAGCACATTGTGATAGTCCTCATAGACGTTATAGAAGTTTTGCACGGATATTCAAAGATATCCGAATGTGTCACTGTGTTCGGGCTAAAGTAACTCGAAAATCAATATATTCAAAGCTTCAAATGATATTTGAAGCTCTTTTCTATAATACATATAAAAAAGAAAAATTTTCTGTGATTTTTCTTCAACATTTAAAATGTTTTTGCTCAGACTAACAGTAAAAATTACGGCACTGAGCCAATTTTACACTCAAAATAAAATTAAAGGTTTTTACACCGATAAATTATTTATGAGAAATTAAAATATTTATATATAAAATAATGCAGAAATTGAATTGGATACTCAAAATCTTTTCATACTTTCATACGTGGTGATTACTGAAATCAGAAATAATGTGACTGCATGTGCGGAGGTTGAATGAACCATTCAACAAATCGATACACATTAAAAGGAAATGTTTTTTTTTATTTAAATAATGTAAACAAATTACATAAGAAATTTCAAGTTCAATGGCAGATACAAAACAGCTTTTTATTCACAATAAAAATTTTTGCTTTAATAAAACAAAATCATTTCTTTAATTTTATTTTCCCACGTATCAAAATAAATTAATTTCAAATATTTTAAATGTTTTGTATAAAAGAAACACAAAGAAATGAATGAAATTAAAAAAGAAATAATAGGGGGAAAAAATATCTAAACTATAGGTCACTTGTTAGCTAGCCTTATAATACTTTCCATTTTAAATTTTATAAGCAGTATATAGTAATCTCTATCTGTGAGTTTTTCGTAAATATTACTTCTTAAAAATAGTTAATCCTAGAAAGACCATGTGTTGGGAATTACATTAATCAGTAAGGTAGATATTTAAATAATATGCTGTCAAGATTTTATGACATTTAGACGAATGGTAGTAGATTCATTAAAAAAATGATGTATTAACTTGGATACTTGGTATCAGTATATGCACACAAAATAATCACCAGCCAACTTTTCTAACATTAGGAAATATAGCCAAAACCCACTTAAGCACAAATATTGGCTCGTTGGGATAGTGCGGATAAGACGCCAGCCCTAAAAAAGCATCTTCAGAATAGAAATTTCAAACATCTAGTGCAGGAATACTGTCCGATTGAAAAGACACAAATCACTCACTCAAGTAGAGCAAGTCTGGACAAGTCTACGCACTTGACTACATATATCCCAAATTAGAAAAAAGTGACAGCTCTGTCAAGACGGCTAGGTTACGAGCCCTGAAGAATTTGAATATTTTCATAGCCAATGATAAGAATTGACACAAGAGGTAGACTAAAATTTTTTCATCATCTGCAAAGTCATAGCCCTGATAAGACTCTTTAAGTAATCAGACCAAATCTTATTGCATGCTTTGCTAATAAACAGTAACCTATCAGTATCAATATTATAGTATTGACCTGGTTCCATTTTAGTTGAAACAATTGATTGATGCGAATTTTGTCCAGGTAAGTCTTGTTATCTTACAAGTATCTTTATCAATCCAGACTTCTCTTTCTAAACATAATTAAATCAACTATTATAAGTATAATAATGCTTTTAGAAACGACGATAAGATACGTTGAGGTGATTAATTGCTGCTCATATTCGTTTATGAAGTGGAAGAACTAAACATATTTCTAAACAATAGTCAATAATCAAGCTACAACAATGTTAATATATATAGAGCAGGCTTTCTTAATGATGTAGTTAATAAAACCAAAGGCAGATAGATATTTTTAATAACAAACATGCGAATATTATTTAGGTCAATATAAAACCTCTTAACCTTTTGTATGCCTAATAATATTACCCTATTTTTTAGATAACATTACGGTATAATCGTATAGTATTTTTATAAAAATACGTTGTAATGTATAATTTTTATTTAAACTTAATAGTATTATGAATGAAAAATTTGAAAACTTTAAATTTAATTAAATTTAATCTCTGTAGTGTAGTCCACAATCTATAGTCTACACGTTTATAGATTATAATTATCTGAATATTATAAATATTTTGTCCGTAATAGTTATGTTATATATGCAAAAAATGTCGAAAGAAACACATGCCGCCTTTTTTTGATTTGGGTTAGGGTGGGGTGGCTGTTGGCAAAAGACATTTGAACGTCTGTGAAGACGTATACTACACATCTATAGTATAGTTAGCTAGTAAGTATAATTACTAACTAATTAGCTAGTTAGTATAGTTACTAACTAATTAGCTAGTTAGTATAGTTACTAACTAATTAGCTAGTTAGTATAGTTACTAACTAATTAGCTAGTTAGTATAGTTACTAACTAATTAGCTAGTTAGTATAGTTACTAACTAATTAGCTAGTTAGTATAGTTACTAACTATAATTAGCTATAGTATAGTTACTAATTAACTAACTGTGTTTAGACTAAACTTACGTCCCGTATCATTCCGGAATGTAGACCCATGCGTTCTTGAAACCGTGTCTACATGTATCGTATATGGTACTTTCTAACAAACTACCCATTTTTATTACATATTTATTTTACTATAAAAGTAAAATATGTTAGAATATCAGTTAATTCTACACACTTCAATAAAACCAAGAGCTGATAACAGAAAATATCTTATATTAAGATAAGGTCTAATATATGTTATACCCTCTTTTCGAGCGAATGTTCCTAATTTCAACGTAATTTCTTAAAGAATTATTATATTTATATACAATATGCTAATAAACTATGAAGTCCAGTCTTTGTTTATATTTATATTGATTGTATATACTATATCGAGAAAAAAAATCTGGTTTATCTACATTTTTAGCATTTTTATTGTCAAACAAAAATCTCAAGGAATTTGCTTTTATTATCAGCGAAATTTTCTGTGACGTTAACGATCGCCGCCAACTCGGCGTCTGAACTTATTTCAGCTGATAAAATATGCGCAGTTCAGTTAAAAATAAATTGGAACATAAAAAAAATATAATTAATTAAGTAACGTAGAATATAGCAGATAATAAAATGGGAAATGTGCAGTAATTAAGATAGTGCAAAAATACTATAATAAACTATCGAGAAATAGATAAGTTTAATCCACTTATCTGCTAATGTTTACAAAATGCAAATTAAATGCAATTTTTTATTTTGGTATTTTTGTTATGAAACATGAAATAAACTTTTTAAAATATATATATTTATATATTTCTTATTAATTCTTTATAAAAATAAAACGTACACTAGTGCCATGTCACAAAGTTTTCTGTATTATGGTAAATAAACAGCACCGTTCGTATCAGTTCACACCTTTCCAGTTTGTAAAGATAACCGCGAATATAGTAAATGGTTCTGTAAATCTTTTAAATGAGTTAGTCGACTAAAAACAATACTAGGATAGGTTATTAGGATAGGTTCAAGGACATGAATGACACGAGATTAAAATAGTTGGATATCATAACCCAAAAAGCAGAGAGCACATATTCTTAATTGGGCTCGATTGATAGAGCACTCGAAAAGTTATCAACAAATTGCTGAAAAAGAAGTTTGCAAACAATGGCCTTAATCATCTATTCTAGATGATTCTAGATATTTCTGTTCTAGCAAAGGGAATATCAAATAAACTACTTTCGCTAAGCAGGTCAGACTATAAGCTTTTAGTGACAAAAAAATTGGAACTGGAGCATTGAAAGTTTGTGCAGCATTGGCTATTTGTGGAAAAACACGTTTAGTCATCGCTTCTAATTCGACAGACACGAGTTCTAAGCCTGGCACTTGCAGTTTAAAGAAATTATGTACGGACTATAAACTAATTAAAAAATTCGAATATTTCCTAAGACAACTGATGATGAATACTTGACAATACTCAAAACAGCGTTGTATAGTCAGCCAGACTTCAACAAAATTTTCTGTTTTATTTTATCACATAATCAGTACCAGATACATATTAAGCCTGCTTCCATAAATATTCTTAGCACAGCGACATCTATGATTAAATGGTAATAAGTATTAGACTCAGTATAATATTAGATTTAATATTCTTAGCACGACGATATTTTTGAGTGAATGGTGTACATTTTGTCTACTTGCTATTAAAATTTGATAAAAATCACTTAAGATTTCGCTGACATTTATGTCTTGTCAATTTGTATATGTCGGTGAAAGTAAAAAAAACAAGATGGGATAAATTGTGAATATTAAATTCTCTACTAAATTGAGTAAATATGACACACAAATAAACGGGATGCCAATGTACGGGAATGAATGCATGTCGTGCACACAGATTTTTCGTGTTGACCTTGGAAAAAATGATCGCACACCATCTCTAAAAACCACTCACAATGAAAAACACCCAGAAAGTTAAAAAAATATACTTCAATGCGATGCTGGGTATTTACTAGGGTAAGCAAAAATTGATATACCGAAAAATACGCAAAAATTTCAGCAAACGAAAAATCTATGCGTGGTCTATAAGACACAATCTGACGGACGACAACCTAACAAAAAAGCTAAGCATCACTGAGACATTTTAAAAATTTTTTGATGGAGACCGTCAAGTATATCTATAATTGTAACTGATAATGAAGAATGGTGTTCCTTATATAGACCGAAAAGAAAATATCACAATGCGGTATGGTAGTGCCATGGAAAGAGACTATTGTGAAGATTACGCTTTTTAAAGAGCTAAATACAGTCAATACTAAAAGTTTTCTTAAATTCAAATGGAATTGTTCATAGCGAATTCACCCTAAAAGTTTAGAAGGTGATTGCAAAATATTATCTGGAATTTTTATAATGATTCTGGGTCAGCATTTGAACAGTTCGACTATAACATTGAAAGCTAGTCAGTTGGGTTTTATTTGTCGATAAAACATCATCATAAATTATGATTTTTTAAATGTTCGACCAAAAAAGGCAATATTGTATCAATAATATACCATTTATTTATCTGGCCTTGCGCTTTGCGACTTATGGTTACTCTCTAAAATAAAATTGAGACAGAAAATAACACATTATATTACCATCCCGCTCATCTAAAGAATTTTAATACTTTATAATTAAATCATCAGGTTGCAGTAATATATAAAATAATGATACCCAAACTGTACCTTTAGTAAAGGTAATTCCTACTGATTAATATCAGAAATTTTTAAAAAAACTTATTAAACATTTAATGTTTTTAACTAAATTACTAATGGCAACAAAGAAATTGTTAAAGAAAAGCAGTTACTAAGTATCACATCTGTTCTTGGAAAAGGCGCTCTACCATAACTTTTCTGATTCTCTGCATTTCCATATTTTGCATCGAAATTAATTCACATTGGATGATGCGCTTAGGTTGGAGTGACTGTCTTGTACACCAAAGCATATAACAATCCAAAGCATATAATATTCATACACAAACCAGAAACAACCTAAAAGGACCGCATTGGTCAGCGTAGAGATAGCGCCGAAACACACGGCTCTGCAATTGAAGAATGCATCGCTTAGATTAAGTTGGGTAATACGGGCGATTTCAAGGGATACATCTTAAATGGATCTTGAGGCCCATTGTGTTACCGTATAATTAAAAACTAAAGAATTAGAACCTCTTAGAATCCTTAAATCTTGGTCTTGCAGTTCGCCCTGATTCTCAAAAAAGAAAATAAGTGATAAGGCGACGCCACAAAGCAGATGGGAGGCGCAGTTTCATCGTCCTCTCCACAACTGCGGCAGGTATGGTTGAAAGGGAGATTTAGTCTCCTAGTGTGGTTTCCTAAAATACAATGACCAGTAAGTAAACCTGCTACAAGACTCATATCTCTACCGGACATCTCAATGAGAGAGTTTGATTTTCTTTTATCGGATGCCTGCTTATCGTTGAGTCTTACCATCTTTTGTTAAAAAAACTATACAAAATATAACAAATCAAACTTTTTAAAAATATTTAATTTTCTTATTCGATAACTTAAGGCAAAAACACACCAACCGAAGGCAATGCATTTTGTGCGGAAGCAGAAGAGAAGAGCTTCCATGTATTTTTGGTACACGCAATGTTCATATAGGATTTGCACTCCTATTATTTTTTATTTTAATTAATAAAAATTAATTGAACTTACCTGTCCTAATTTCAAACGAAAAGCGTAAGCACGAACTATGGAACTTTTCATATTTTTTTTAATTTTCAGACTTCAACTGCAATAAACAAAATATATATTTTATTAATTTTTGTTTATATTATTATTTATATTTTCTGTATATTAAATCTATTTATAATCACTTGAAGTCGCACGACGCTATAAAAATATCAAAACTGCTTCTCAAAATGCAGTAAATTATTGAAACAAAAATTATTTTCAATATTTTTATTTTTTATATTATTTTTTACTTGAGTTTATCCTTGAAATGTCAAAAATAAACTTTTTCTTCCCGTTCCAAAGCAGTTTTGATTATATAACAACAACACTTTTATTCACTATTACGTCTTCAAATTATTACAAAGAAAAGCGCACAAAAGAGACAAAATATAAAAAAAAATTATACATACTTATTCTTTTAATTAATTAAGCAACTTTTTCACAGAAACTAATTTAAGAAACTAATTTGAAAAGTCGAATTATGCAGACAATACGTCTTCGACTTCACGTTGTATGAAGCAAAAGGAACAATAATCTGACAGCACAAAAAACATATGAAAAAGTTTTTACATTCTAAATGTGGATTGTGGACTGTGGATGATACAACATAACACAAAAGGGTTACCTATTTCAATTACACGAGTACAGATATGCCCACACTGCTACGGTGCCGTACATTGCGAGACACATATACCTGTGGTACTTCTGTATTACCACTTTATTATTAAGGCCGTGTTGGAGTTCGAGTAAATTGAGGAAAAGTAAATTAAAATTCCCTTGGGATTTTTTGCACTGCACTTATGTAAATATATATTTATTTTTTTATTGTACTTATATATTATTTTTGGTTAAAGTTTTCAAATTTTTTATTTATTTATTAAACATCTTATAAAAATTTCACAATTGTAATACCTAATTTACCTAATTATTATCTTATTTACCCTACTCGAAATTCCGGTAAATACCAAAATCCTGCCACGCAGACATTATTTACTATTTCCCACAATTTACCAGCAATTTACTCGAGCTCGCATACGGCCTAGATAAAACACTTTCAAATAAATATTGTAAATGTTTATTATTTTGCAATCATTTATTATTTTACATCCAAATATTGTTAATTTCTTTTGCTTCTGAGACTATGCGCTGTTTGTACTTTCATTTTCACATCATGCTAGATGGGTTGCGTTGATTAATGTTATAGTTACTGCTGTTTTACTATATATAATACACAATAAAATAATACAATAGACTTTTATAAAAAAAAACGTGTTTCAGTTCTACTTCTTTTTTTTTCTTTCCACATAACAATTATCTGTTTGTCTACTTCATCTGCTACCGGTTGTTTGGCAACAGGTGGCCATGCGAACGCAAAAATTATAAATAACACTCTAGCCACAATGTGATCGCCACATATCTATTAATACTGGATTCTCACGAAAGTTCTATCTGTAACTTTATAATACATTCAGACTGTTTCATTTAGGCACCTGCTCATTTATATTAATGAGTGAATGTTCACATTTTAATGAGCACATTTATGCAACTGATAGAAGTTTTATAAACTTCTTTCTATAAACTTCACTTAAAACTTCACACAAAAAAAATAAGTATATAATTGATATACTTAATTATGTATATACATTTTATATATCAATCACATATTCAATTAATAAAAATAAAGATTTTATTAAGTACTTTGTTTACGGTTCAGCTGTTTATTTGTTTACATATTACATATGAAATATGTGACAAATATTTCAACAATTTGGTAATTTCCTTTGTGGAAAATTTATTTTTAAGGGTTGCATTCGACAATTTCCGTTTTAAATAAGCTGTTTTATTGACAATGAGCTCATTTATATAAAAGATTTTAATATAAAATCATCCTCATAAGTAGTTGTAATTAAAGCAGTGTTAATGTGCTATTAGCTGTCAAAAAAATTGACTTCTGGAATCAAAAAGCAAAAACATCGATTCACACGACTTGTGCTTGTAGTTTGACTATCAGACTTATAATATGTCTGCACTTTTTAACAACTTTAACAAAATATTTATCTTGCATACCTATCTTATATATATAATTCTTCTGTACGTGTGTTGACAGTGAACTCCTCCTAAACGGCTGAACCGATTTTGATGAAATTTTTTGTGAGTGTTCAAGTGGATTCAAGGAAGGTTTAGATTCACAATTTGGCCCACTAGATAATGTCTTTTTAATTAATTTTTTATTTTTTGGTATGCATATACATTTATATTAGAAATTTAAAATTTATTCATGCTTACTTTGATTTGTTTAAAAACTTTAAAATCTCTAAAATGAATCGTAAAACTGCCGTTGCATAGCTTAAGTGCATTTAAATTCTGCAGCATAATTATAGGTGAGCCAATTTTTAATCTTAAGTTATGTGGTGGTATTCCTGGTAAATCCAGAGAATTCAAAAATTCAACACACAAAAAAGAAGAATTATATATGTAAAGATATAAATAACGTACAAAAAACAATGCCACGTCTTCGTGGACGAGGAGGAAATATTTGTCGACGGACTCGGAATTCACAATTACTCCAAAACCGTCGGTTAAATAGATCGGCAGAAAACAATGAAAATGTAAGAAATCAGGATACAATCACACGTTCTAATGAAAGTCAAAAGCAACGCAACGAACGTCAGGAAAATTAATTGCAAGGGGAAACAACGTTCGCCGGGTCAGCTAGTATATATATATATTTTTTATATGTATATATTTATATATATGTATTTTATATAATTATATATATATATATATATATATATATATATATATGATAAATAGCAGTTTTATTTCACAATAGCATAAATTTATACTGTACTACGATGAACTGTCCAAGTTAAAATCTTTTCGATTTTTAAGATATTACGATTTAATTATATTTTCAGCTGTCAAAATTCCCATGCAAATCTCCTTGATTAGAATTTATTTCGCTATCGAAATCAAGAATAATTTCAAATGACAGATAAATTACAATCAAAACTCTCGTGTGAATCCAATACAACAACACATTGCGAATTTGTGTGCAAATTCTCTTAAAATTGATTTTAAAACTTAAGTTAACATGGTATATGATGAGGAAGTAATAAAAAAATTATCTGGCAACACTAATTTCATTTAACTAAATAAATTCCACAAAATCGATTTTTTGTTCCACTTTTGCTCAGGAGGTGATTGTTTTCAAAATAAACAAATTGAAGATAATTTTTATTTTGGAAATTGTTTAATTAAAGATAAAACAAAAAATAAAATGGGACTTTCCAATGATGCTAAAGACCGTTTAGAGTTTATTTTCAACATTATCAAAACAACTTTCCACTATGGTTTTATGCCATTTGTGCTTTATCTCGGTAAGTTAATGATTTTGCCCGCAATTCTTAATTTAAAATTATTACATAAAAACAATTTATTTTATAGGTTTTCGGAAAGGTCCAGAACCAGGAATGCCACCACTAACTTTACTGAGCTTGCTATGGCAATAGATTATACTCTTGTTTTAAACTAATTTATTGTCTATTATTGTTAATCATAATTTCGTTACTTAAAGGCTTCTCGTGAACTTTAAATACAGTTTTTATTTTATATATATTTTTAAACACAAATTATATATATAATATATTATTATATCTAAATATATTTATATATATTATATTATCATATATTATATTATATACATATATTAAGTTAAATATATTTGTTTACATATATTATATTTGTATATATAAATTTATTTATTTATATAAGTTAACACCCGATGATACCGAATCTGCCCCTCTCTAATTATTTAACATAATTAACGGCGCAGCCATGCGATACTTGCAAAATTGCTGCAAAACGGGTGTTGAGCTATAAAATATATATAAAAACTAAAAATACTGTAGTTCAAAAAGTTCATAAAAAGTCTTTGATTAACGAATATAAATTTTAAATATTCAAATAAATAAATTAATGTTAAATAATATAAATGACACGATGTTTAGTTCGTCAATTTGAACGTAGTTTTTTTATAAAATAATCGGAATCCTTAAGTTTATCGTATTTCATCTTTGTGCTTGGATATAGTATACCTGATTTCATATAGTTGGTTATAGTAGCCAACTATAAGCGATGTGAGACAGTTGGAAATCCATAGCTCTTTGGAAAACCTAGCGAAAAAATAGATAAAATACGAAAATTAATAAGATTAATTTATAATATGAAGATTTGAATATAACAGAGTTCTGGGATTCTAGTGAAGTTAAGCACTGCAACCATAGCAAATATCATAATATCAAGAACTATGATATGCTTGTAGAGTTATAGCGCTCTACGCAAATGCTGTATCCTCATCAAGACCATAGTTTTCCTATAACAAGATTCTCAATAGGTCGTGCTAACCTTTCTCAGGAAAAACGACGACAGCAAAAACTGTTAAGATCAGGATATAGTCATGTGCGAAATAGTTACTTGTCACGCATAAACACATCTATTCCTAATGTGTGTCCAAACTGCAGCTCAACCCTCATGACGTCATGCACCTGTTCTCCTACGCAACCGCATACACAACCAATTCAATCGATCTCTTATCCCACCCCATTGAAGTGATCAGTGACAACAATAACCAAATCGTTTTTTAACAGTTAGTTGCTTGGAAGTCTAGGTAACAATGGCATCCATGGGCTACTACAGCAACAAAAGACCACGCATAATATCAACATTATAAATGAAAACTGAGATAGATAATTTGCTAATGGATTCATTGAATTAATGGTTCACTTGGGTTAATATACATATTTTTTTTAATTAATTTGTTTTTAGTTTATTAGGCATTACAAATTTATTTCATAACATATGTATATTCAAATTATATAATTAAAAATAAATGAAATAAATAAATATAATATAAAAATAATTAAAAACGATAACAGCATTTAAAGTATTTTACTTTTAACATTCAATAAAATAATTTAATATAGTTAATTTTAATTCATTTCATTTGAAATTCTTTTATTTTAATTAGTTACTAATTAGTTAGTATTTTCATTTTCCAATATTGTTGCATTAGAATTATGATGGAAAGTTGACGTGGTTAATGCAAAAGGAGTTTGTGCTTAGACCTTTGTATTTTTTTTTTAAGATTTAAACGCGTTTTCGGTTTCTGCCAGTATAGGTGGGATAAGTGATGTCTTATGTTTGGTTCTGACATTTTCGAAAGTTCATATTTCGTCTTTATAGTTACTTGTTAAATAAAACAATTGTTTAACTTTTTTATAGTTACTTTTTTACTGCTATAAACTTTCTACTATCCATTTTTTATAGTTTTCAAATTCATTATATATTTTATATTATATTATTTTATTATATATTATTAATTATCAATATTTTATGATAATAGTATTGTAATAATTATTCTTTATATATTCATAATTATATTATTTTATAATATATAACTTTTTATCATTATTATATGGTTCACATTATCAGAACTATTTTACATTTATTTATAATTATATTATTTTAA